CAAAAATGTCAAAATTTATAACATGAAGATTTTTTAATATAAAAATATTATTCATATTTGCGGACTTTCACCTGTATTTTCCAAAAATTTTCTTTCACACAAACCTTGTCCTGTAAATTACAAATAGAACAAAAAATAAATCAGTCAAATCGGTTGAGCCTTGCTCAAATGATGCTCCGTTATACAGTTGGCAATCGCCTAGAATTGACAGCTGCGAACAGTTTGAATTTGGTTTTTGTTTTCTTTGGGCAATTTGTCCACCTTTTCTCTTCATGAGAACCTTCCTCGGAATATCTTATCGAAATCGGTTCAACCGTTCTCAAGTTTTGCGTATAACAACACATTTAGCGATCCATTTTTATATATAATAATTGTACTGCATGTGTCCGTTTACATATTATGTTTTTTGTGTTACCAAATTAGATAAATTGAAGGTAAAAATAAAGAACATATAAAATGAGAATAAAAGGCAGAAAAACGACATAAATACCTGACGCATACCATTGACCTAAATACCTTCTTGGAAACTGAGGACAAGGACAAAAGGAATCTCGAAAATTTATGTTAGAAACCGGAAGCTTAAAATATCAAAAAATAAAATAGCAAAAGAATTACAAATTGAATAGCTCGTATCAATAAAAACGCTATTGTGGTGCAGTACCTATTACAAAACCCTTAACAGTACATAATATAGCTTAAAACAAAACTGCAGGGGCGGCCTTAGTCATTGGAAGGTTCTGGGCGGGTAAATTTTTGCGAGGCCCTCGTCTTTGTGGAATTAATTTTAATGATGATACTTGAAAAATGCAAAAAGTGATTCATAGATAAGTTTACAGTTTTAAAATTGTTTATCGAAAATTAAAAATAAAATTGATAAAGACAAAGATAACAAATTTGCGACTTCTTTTAAGACTATTAAGAAATTCAAATAAACATTAGTAGTACCTATGTACTATTACTACCTAATATTTTCTAATTAGATTGTTGCGCGAGTGCGCGAGGCCCCTGCAAGAGCGAGGCCCGGGGCGGTTGCCCTGTTCGCCACCCCCAAAGGCCGCCACTGGTTATCATCTTATTTGTAGGGAGTGTACGCAGTATCTGTTTTTGTTCAAATTGCATTTTCTTCATGGGGAATTTATTTTTTTTTATTATTCTTCGAAAAGGATGTTTTAATGGAACAGGATTATTACCTCGAACATTATTACATTCTGCCCAAGTACCTATTCCTTTGGAAACCAGATTATGCCTACTTACCCTTAGTGGTATGTCAACTAACCCCGCATCCATGATTTTGTAGTTAAAATATAAAGGTACCCGGCGCATCCACCAGAATTTTCCCATGTATTGCACAAAAAATGAAAAATCTAAAACCATAATTTGTACCAACTCATCCTGGTGTCCATAATATTAAAAACAAAAGTAAATTCTAGCTAGTTATTCTGATTAATTATTCTAATATTATTATAGGTAAATTTTTTAAACTATTTACTATTTTTATTATACTTTCCTGTCTATTTTTTTTACGTTAAATCTGTTCCAATAGTCTATCAGTTTTATTAAAGAAAGACAATTTGGAGAAAAGCCTGTCCCCCTAATATTTTTTATCGTATATTTATAGGGTTATACTCCTCTTCACATTGCTGCCCAAATGGGTCATAAAGATGTGTATAACCTTCTAATAGACGTTTATGGTAAGTACATAAAAGATAAGCATTATAAAACCCTCACACATAAAAAAATCTGAAGTGCGGTCATCAGAAATAGAAGGGAGCAGAAGATTTGCGAGTGCAAGATCCGTGTATCCGATTACGTTNCTTTTTGGTGGCAGTGAACGTGAAATTTTCCGAATCGAAATTCATTTTAGTTTTATGTAATGATTGAATTTAGACAATTTTCACTTCAATAAAAAAAACAATAATAAGTGATTGTAAAATATACTTGGAAATTCCAAAATAAACAAACGTCTTCCTGTTAAGATTTTCTTTTCTTTTGTTATCAACAAATTGATCTTGGGTCATCATTCAAAATATGTTGATGCTTTAGTCGTTTCGTAATTACAAATCGCATAAAAATTGAAGGAACTTCTAATATTTTTTTTAAAATATTTCGTTACTTGAAAACTGTACGAATAGGTTAATCTGTGACCAATTTTGGCTTCGTGTTATACTAATAAAGAACATGGAGTGCCAAATGTACCTAAATATGGTTAAATTGTGTAGCATTAAACGTTCACTGATATTTTCAGTTTGTAAAAAAGTGAAAGAGGTAAAAATTGAATTGTTCTTTAGTTTAAATGAAATGTTTTAATTTCATTCTTCGACGTTCTTAAGACGTTATTGTATGCCACACTATACCTCATTAATCATGTAGTATATTTTAATTATGGTAAATTTTGTTGTGCAGTTTTAAGGAAGTCTTTAGTTTCTGTCAACCAAACTGATGTAATACTTATATTTTGATCAACATTGTGTTATCTTGTGACATACAAAGTTGCTAATCGGTTGCCATTAACCGCTGTCCGATCGCGTGTGTTAGTCAGTTAAAACATAAATATTGTAATATTAATACTTACTATCAAAAGTGTTTCGGGCATGAGACATGAGGCAGGTGTTACCTGACTGGATTTCCTCCATAGGGCATTTAACTCATCACACAGGTGAACTTATTTAGCGGGCTGATACGACAGTGGACTTTTGCTGTTCACCGCTTGGCACACCGGTGCATTGGTTGACCAACTTTCTATCCCTTAATAAATAATTTCAACCAAGAAAGGAAACATTTTAACAAAATAAATCTCAAAAACTGCAGATTGCAAACCAATTTTCATTTTTGAGGTATAGAACTAAATTTTCATTTCTTAAAAAGCGGCGACCTGAAGTAAAATAGGAAATCCCCTAAATATGGAATGTTATGTTAATAAGTTAATGCGTGTTCAACAATGTTTTTATAGGTAAACTGCCCTAGACAAATATTTTGAGTCGCTCTCCAGTCTCTCAGTCATTCAGAGTCTTTCAGCGTGTCTGAGATCGTCTCTCATAGTCTTTCACAGTCTCCCAGTTATTGCCTAGGTGTTTTTATGGATCTCTCACAGTCTCTGTATGAGAGACTCGAACGATGAAATTGTTAATTCAGAGATTCGAATCTCTCACAGAGAGACTGAATGAATAAAACTGAAAACTTGAGAGACTCGAGTCTCTCGTAGAAAGACTGGGATCTCTGAAATATGTTGAACTTAGAAAATTTTAACTATGTCTATCGAGACACCACTTATTGTGAGATTCGAGTCTCTCGTCAGAGACTGGATACGAAATGAGGATCTCTCTATGAGCGACTCGAGTATCTAAACAGTTTTTTTGACAATCTCTCGACAGTCTCTCTCAGCGCCACCAGAGAGACTCGAGTCTCGCTTTCAGAGACTCTGAGAGACGGAACAGTTTTATCTCGGGTGTAACCAAACTGCAATGTGTCCTCTTTGCTTTGTTCATTTGTGGAATGAAATGTTGGAAAATATTGGATTTACCTGCTAGAATATACTAACTTTAACTTTTGGGTGTTTCATTCCCACCAGCCACTAAAGCTGGTGGGCGAGCAGTCCCTCCGGACTATGCCGGAAGGTAGGGCGGAAGGCCCTCTTCAGACTCCTTTCAGGAATTATGGGAATGGGTGGGTGGTGGTGGACGAAATGAAGACAGAAGATAATGAAAGATTACCCGTGGAATATTACTGCCCCAACATTTAACTAAGTGATTCAAGAAAACCACAGAAAAACTTGGACCAAGAACCAGAATCGAACCAGCGTCCTTCCGAATGCTAAGAAATGGTCTAAACCTCTATCTAGGTCATGCCGCTCTAATATATGTCACTGTCTCATTGAAATTGTATCACTCTGACAAAAAATTGTTTTTGAAATTCTCCGGTTTCCTTATTCTTCTTGCTAAAGTTGTTTTCGTTGTTAGTTATTCGTTATTGTACCTACATGCTTTGTGATTGTGATAGTGACACTTACGCTTTTCGTCCGGTCGCAATTCATAATATGACTGGCCTAATTGGAACTCGCTCCGGGCAATCGCTATCGCTATTAATTGCCAGTGGGGCCGCGAGCAGCTGAAGCTTCGATAGTCATTATGCAGATACGGGTTCGGCCGGGCTGGGCTGCAACTTGCCAGGCCGTTGATGATAGTGGTGATCCTGCTACTTACTACCTGCACAGCTCTTATTGTTTCTTATTAACTCAAAATGATAGGTAATAAGTAATCAACCCACTTCATTTTAATTCAAGAACTGGTGAAAACTTAAGCGGTCACGCGATGTATTATTATTTGTTATTGTTGATTTAAAGTGTAATAGATGTTGCACTGTTGTTGTAATTTACTGTTTCAACAAGTATTGATAAAAACACGCTTCCACAGCGATGTTATTTCAATAATGTTGAGCTTATACCTGATGGCCGTGGTCTAGGATTGTTTCTCCATCGGTGAGAACACAGAAGGTGTTGTTTATCGTATCAATACAACCACTTTACGCCTTCGTTACGTTCCCTGAACATGTCAAGGTGGCAAAACGTCGGATAAATGACTCCATCGGTGTTTTCACCGAAGAAGTAACAATCCTAGACCACTGCCAACGAGTCCGAACATCAAACATCGGTGAGGTAACAATTATTTCCACGAAACAATATTCTGACAATTTTTTGGAAACTTTTGAGATACAATAAATTTAGTTAATAACAAGTTGAAATAATCGTATGCATCCCAGGTTTTAGTGGCACCGAGCGGCATGGCCTAGAGGTTTAGACCATCAGCATTCGGGAGGACGCCTGTTCGATTCCGGGTCCGTCTGCCTTGATCCAAGTTTTTCTGTGGTTTCCTGGGATCACATAGGCAAATGCTGGGGCTGTAATATTCCAGAGATAATCTTTCATTTTCTTCTGTCTTCTTTTCGTCTGTCTCATCTTTCTCACCCGACCCACCACACACTCATTCACACGATTCCTGAAAGGGGCCTGAAGAAGGCCTTCCGCCCTACCTTCCAGCGTTTTCCGTGGGGACTGCCCGCCTACCAGAATTAGTAGCTGGCGGCAATGAAAGAGCCAAAAAATTTTTTTTGACGTAGTCATGACACTGTTGCATGGTTCTAAATTTACTCAGATTGCTGCTCCTAAAGGTTTTATTTGTCAGTTATTATTAAATATTAATTTTAAAATTGTTTTTTAACTTTTTAGTGAATACATTTTAAACGAAAACTTTAAAATGAAAACAGACTTTATTGTACCTAAGTATCTATTGTACTACCAAACCATGGTCAAATGTTTTTGTGGCAAAAGCTAAAGTAAAATGTAAAAAATAACAATCAACAAATTTTCCTATTCAGTGAAAGGAATGATGATGTCTTCGTACATGGATACTTACAGATTTCCTCATTACTGTGTACAAAGATCAGTATTAAAGTTTCATTAATGTAAATGAAAAAGAAATTTGAATTTTCAAGTCGTTAAATTGATCTGATTTTAAATACACGTATTATATCGTACGTCAAACTACGTAAAATTTTGCATAATATGTACGGTTGATAGTATAGTAGTGGAAGATCGTTGATCATAATGACGTATTATACCAAATTAAAATGGATCAATTATGTTGCACTTTTCTTTCCCGCATTTTAATTGGCACATAATGACGTTGTCGGTATTCTAACTGGGCGATTTTTGTTGCATGTTGCTGCCGCACCATCACCACAACCCACCGACCTGCCCATGGCACCTTAACGCAGTACGTAAGTACCAATTTGAATATTTCCATTTTGTAATTAACACGGCGTCTCTCCGATCGACGGCACCGTCCGTCGAATCCTTTCTACCGCGTATCGTTTCGTATCGCATCGTATCGGACGTGCCGGCTGACAGCCAGTTTTGTCAGTTATTAATTTGCGAGTGCAAGATCCGTGTATCCGATTACGTTGGCTGGTGGTCAGTTTCGGATTTGCCTGTAAAACGTCCGTTATTACCGGCACGTTCAGGTGTAAATTGCGATATCGATACCTCAATTTGTCTTATCGCATCATCTTTCTTAATCCGACTCTAGGTACCGGAAATGACCATGCGTTTCGTGTTAAAAATGCGTTTCAAAGGAATACAATTTACAAAAATTGCAGAGTCTTAAATGTGTTTTAAAATATTATACATTCGTTGTTTAGCATCACAATTAACGCATTGTATGTTATCCCATTGAAACAGTCAACCAATAAATGTGTCCCTTCAATAAATCAACTCCTTTTTAATGTCTTAATGTTACCGTTAATAAGACGGTTCGTAAGAAATAATCAGCATCTCTCTCGCGATTTTTAAAATCCTGTGAAACAAGACATTTCCGTTTCGTTCTCTCTCGCTGACGAAAAGTCGAGTTGGCTTTGTGTCGGTGGTCGTTTGTTGTTTGTTGCTTACCTGTAGGCCGAATTAATGTCGTGTAAAATTCAAAAGCACTTGATTTCTCGTCATAATTACGTTAATTTCTCCTGGCATTGTTTCGCCATTCATACGGACCTTTGTAGATCGGATCTTTGCGAAGCGGAAGCTATATTTTCTTCCCGTTTTATGGCTTTACTGAATTATGAACGCTGCGACTTTAAACCTGATACTTTGTTGCTTCTTTTCTTATCAGATGGGATCGTTTTCGGCCACGTAATGGCATATCTT